ATCAGGTATGAGCCTCTAACGATCTCTATGTAAGATTATCATGTTCAAGATCCTGAAAGTATTTAATCTAACACAATGTTGTCATTTTACTCGTGTAGCATAATTTTCAAATAGCTAGTTTCTTCAATTACTTTAATAATGTACGTTTGTTACTTTAATGGTGTTGAAGAAGAGCATGACGAATAATGACGATAAAGATAAGCCGTAAAAGAAATTCTTATTTTTAGTAAGTCAAGTAAAAATATGGTGATTGTCTCAGATTGCTTCAATGGTGTATGTTTGTTGATTCAATATGAAGAAGACAAGCCACAAAAGAAGCCCTTATTTTTAGAGTCCAATTTACCTTGCAATTTCTTTTTACTTTTTATTTAAATATTAATAATATATAAAAATACTTTATAATATTTCTAAATATAATTAATTTAGAGTCCAACTAACCTTACAAAAATATTTTTATTTAAATATAAATAATACATAAAAATACTTTATAATATTTCTAAATATAACTTTGTTGTTAAAAAAAATTTGTCAAACCCCTGTTCTTTGATTATGTAGTCGCAAATCTTGTTGTATTTTCAATTTAGGATGGGAGAGAGCAAAGTTTTGAAGTCGGCAGAGATTCCCAGTCAGGAGCTTAACACACAAGCAATTTCAGATGCAATTGCAGAAGCAGAAGCTGCAATCGCAGAGGCAGAAGCTATTATTGTTGAGGCAGAAAGGGCTATTACAATGGCAGAAGAGGCACTACACTTCGCTGAAACAGAAACAGTATTGATGTCACGCCCCAAGCTACCCCCAAGACACGGACACGGGACCTAGGACCACAAGTGATCCCAAGCTAACCCTTCTGGCATGATCATGAGCATACTAAAGATAATAATAACTGATGCGGAAGCTAAATCATAAAGTAAGTATGAAATGATGGGGAATACCCATATACTATATTTGAGATATATGAAAACTGATGAGTTTAATACAAAGAAGATATTAACTCAACACTAAGCTGAATCTAACTATGTCTGAAATAAGCCTCTAAACTGACTAGAAATGTTGGGACATGCCCCAACTAGATCTAGCAAAACTGAAACTAAAGACTAAAAGCGATAAAGATAAACATGTCACTAGTCCTCGAAGAATGAGGACTCACCACTGATGCTGCTGAACTGAAGATCGGGAATCGATCTAAGCGTGATCTGGATGCTGAGAACCTGAACCTACATCACGAGAAGATGTAGCGCACGTATGCGTCAGTACTTGAAAGGTACTGAGCATGCAGGATAGAGTAAAGCTGAAACAACATATAACTGAACAAAGCAATAAAGCAATGAAATAATCT